AATGAGGAAGGAGGATGAGGAAGAAGGAGGGCGCTCGGCGCCCGTCGCTCGCCTCTCGCGCTGTCGCCTCGGCGCCGAGGCGTCCAGTGCTCCGGTGCGCCCGGAGCCGACAGGGCCCAGGGCCTGCAGACGCTCTCTCCTCTCTCCTCTCCTCTTTCGGAGGGAGGAGAGGCGCCGCTACCGCCGCCAGGGCACCAGGGGGCCACCGGGCCACCTTCAGTTTTCAGCCGATGCCTCTCCGAGCTCCGAGCTCCGAGCTCCGAGCTCCGTGCTGGAGATCGGAGCTCGGAGATCGGAGATATCTAAAACATCTCATGTTGCCATGGTGCCCTGGCGTTGGTTGTGTCGTCTTTCCTTGTTCCTGCCCCTCTCCCCTCTCCCCCCCAACTCTCTCTCTCTCTCTCTCTCTTTCTCTTTCTCTCTCTCTCTCTCTATCTTTCTTTCTCTCTCTCTCTCTGTCTCTCTTTGTCTCTCTGTATCTCTGTCCTCTGTCTGTCTGCCTGCTCTCGTCTGTGTCCTTCGCTGGGGCTCGTGGCTGTGACGCCGTCGATGTCTTGCATTTCTGTGCTGTTTGTGCTGTTTTTCGGTTTCGATGGTTTCCGTCGCAACTGTTCGCCCGAGGTAGAGCAACCCAGGAAAAATGAGATTCTTTATAATTGGAGTGGCGTTCGATTTTCTTGGTTTTGGTATGTTTTATTTATTCTCTAAGCTTGATGGCCACGTTGCGACAAGAGCTTCCTAAAGCAAAAACGAAACTATTTGGGATCACGTGACCCATCTCCGCCGCAAGAGAACTCCAGGAGCCCCCCCGGAGGCAAACGCCGACTCCACTGATGAACTCATGCCCGTTCTTTTGCTGATGCGCTGCGCGAAGATCGCGCTTCCGCGCCCAACCCTGTAGCTGCCACGGCGCGTGCGTGGTGTAGCGTGCTGGCTGTCTCGTCGCCCAGATGGCAACGTCGCCAACATACCCGCAACGCCCATCCAAATTCCAACGGAATTTTCCACGGCAGGCTCCCGAAAGACATCCGCCAGGCCACCCATCGCACCTTGCGAGCCCTGGGCAACATCTCCCGCCTCCAGCTGCCACGGCGCCCGCGTGGCGCAGCGTGCTGGCTGCCTCGTCGCCCAGATGGCAGCGCCGACACCATATCCCCGCAATGCACACACTGGTTGGTGGGACACCCTAGCTCTGGAGTAGACCCACTAAAAGAAATGGCTACTCAACATATGGAAACATATGCGGTGCCGCGTGTTAGTTTACCGCATCAAGCGGCAGCGTTGAAAAATGATCAGTAGCAGCCCCAGCAGCACACCCGTGAAGAAGGTGCCCGTGAAGAAGATGCCAGTAGGTCCCCGCAATGCCCATCCGAAATTCTGCGGACCCTGAGATCCGACGTTGCAAAACATTGCAGCATCGCAGAAACTCACCACCGGAGCCCCGGACCCCATCTCTCTGCGGCATTTTTCGAGCCAGATCGATCTGTGAGGGCCCCCGTGTGCCCGAGACCGGGCGAGAACGCCGGCTGCGAAAAAATTGCATCGCCGGGATCTCAAGGGGAGTCTTCCGCGGCAGGCTCCCGCACGGCCTCCCCCGGGGCCACAGCTCCCGCCTCCGGGGGCCTCCCATATCTGGGAGCCGCGGGCGCCCCCCCTCTGGTCCGAGGGGCCGCCACGCCACCGCGGCACACGACAGCCGCACCACGCAGGCTAAAATAGCCACGGAGCAGCCGCAAGCGCCGTCGTCGTCGCCGTCGCCGTCGCCGTCGTCAACGTCGTCGCCGCCGTCGCCGTCGCCGTCGCCGTCGCCGTCGTCGTCGCCGTCGCCGTCGCCGTCGTCGTCGCCGTCGTCGTCGTCGTCCTTCAGGGTCAGCGGCACGGGCCGTGAGGCCTTCGCAAGAAGGGCGCGGGGCAGCCATTCCCATGCGACTGGCAGATGCAACATCTTCTGCACGCTGACCACCCGATAGAGATAAACAATTAGTGGACACTCCCCCGCTCCGCCAAACTCAAAGTTGGCACGCGCGGGGAAGACCGCGGTCGAAGTGCAGCTCGTTCAACCCAACGCCAACATTGATCATTGGGGGGGCATTGGCAGATGGATGCGGCATGGGTGTTCGCTAATTTCTTCCGAGGCCTGGCTCAACGTCGTGACTTGGCCCTGAGACACATGACTCGCTTGAGCTGAACTTGTTTAGGACGCATGCCCCCCCCCTATTTGGTTTTCTTGAGTTTGGGCCTCCGGAAGCTTGTTTCGGACCCCGAGGCCATCAGCACGCTGACCCAATATGAGCACAAACTGTCCCCGGGATGGGGTTGAGAGGTCCGAAGTCCCACGTCACTGATTCGACTCCCCCCCTCTTGTTCCCCGTCCCCCACCCCTACGCTGGTCCCCTACACCTCTCCCCTCCTCTTCCTTACCCTCTTCCCTCGGCTTGATGTTGTAGCTTCACGCATCTTCCCGTAGCTATCGATTTCTGACGATTGCACGCGTAAACTTCCCGCCCGCCGCCCTCCCGGGCTGCCCCTCTTGCGGCCTCGTGGGGCCTCCCGAGCCCTCCCCGGACCACCTGGAGACTCCTGGGGCCTCCTGTGCCATCCTGGGGCTTCTTGTCCAGCGCATCCTGTGGGAGAGCAGCGAGGACAAGCTGAGGGAAACGAATCGGCCAGCACTCTTGAATCCACTCGCAACGTGTAATTAAAAACGTGCACCAGAGCCAGATCACGGAGGAGGAAGAGGGAGACGATGCCAACATAGGGCGTCCAGGGGCTTCCTACACAGGGTGTCCTGGGGCCTCCTACCCGGACCCCCGACGTCGTGTTTTTTTCCCAACGTCGACCCCAAGAGGTCTAACGTAGACCCCTTCCCCAGGACGGGTCTTTCATCCCGCGTCCTTTTTTGACGCCCCCGAGGCCCGGCGAGGGCCCCTGAAGGCCGAAAATTGTGGAAAACCTCCCGTCATGTTTTTCTTCAAGACCCCAGGGGGTCTGGGCACCCAGGGTGTCCTGGGGCATCCTCTGCACAAAAGGGCGTCCTGGGGCCTCCTGGGCCCCCAGCGGGCCCGCGGCGAGGGGGCTCGGCGGGGCGCCGCGGCCGCCGCTGCAGGGTCCTCCCGCAGCGCCCTGGCCTGCGCCTCCTGGGAAGCGTCGGCGGGCCACTGCGGGGCCTTCCGGGCTCGTCGTCGTCGACGAGGAGGAACGCAAAGAAAAGTATAATGACATCGGCGAGGCAAAGGCGGACCAGGAAGACGAGGAGGATGAGCAGCAAGGGGGACGACGAAGAGGAGGGGAAAAAAGGAGGAGGACGAGGAGGACGAGGAGGTGGAGGAGAAGGCGGATGAGGAGGAGGAGGAGGAGGAGGAGGAGGAGGAGGAGGAGGAGGAGGAGGAGGAGGAGGAGGAGAGGAGAGAGGAGGAGGAGGAGGAGGAGGAGGAGGAGGAGGTGCGCCGCGGGGCCTTCTGGAACTCCCCGCCGCCGTCCCGGCTCCCCCCAAGTCGAGAGGGAGGGAGGAGGAGACCGCGTCGGTGTGGACTGATCCTCCCCGTCGGCTCCCCCAAAGTCGGGAGGGAGGATGACGCCGCTTCGGTGTGGACTGATCCTCCCCGTCGGCTCCCCGAAGTCGGAGGGAGGATGACGCCGCTTCGGTGTGGACTGATCCTCCCCGTCGGCTCCCCAAAGTCGGAGGAAGGCTGACACCGCTTCGGTTTGGACTGATCCTCCCCGTCGGCTCCCCCAAAGTCGGGAGGGAGGATGACGCCGCGTCGGTTTGGACTGATCCTCCCCGTCGGCTCCCAAAAGTCGGAGGGAGGATAACAACGCTTCGGTTTGGACTGATCCTGCCCGTCGGCTCCCCAAAAATCGGAGGGAGGATGACGCCGCTTCGGTGTGGACTGATCCTCCCCGTCGGCTCCCCAAAAGTGAGAGGGAGGATGAGACCGCTTCGGTGTGGACTGATCCTCCCCGTCGGCTCCCCAAAGTCGGAGGAAGGCTGAGACCGCCTCGGTTTGGACTGATTCTCCTCGTCGGCTCCCCAAATTCGGAGGGAGGATCGGTTTGGACTGATTCTCCCCATCGGCTCCCAAAACCGGAGGGAGGATGACACCGCTTCGGTTTGGACTGATTCTCCCCGTCGGCTCCCAAAAGTCGGAGGGAGGATGAGACCGCGTCGGTCTGGACTGATCCTCCCCGTCGGCTCCCCAAATCGGAGGAAAGATGGCACCGCTTCGGTTTAGACTGCTTTTCTGCCACCCTGGCCTGGGACAAGAAGGCCGCGCGGGGCCCGAGAATGAAATGCGGGAGCTTTTCTGCGACAGCGGCCGGGTTCCTTTCGGGACCCAGGAGCCCCGAAGGCGGTTTCCTGGGTCCTCGTTCTCCTGGTTCTCGTTCTCCTGGTTCTTCTCGTCCCCTCCACCCGCCCCCTCTCCCCCCCTGCACCTCCACCTCCTCTGCCCCCCTGCTGCCCAGACCTCTGGTAAGGGGGCAAGAAGGTAGAATCCCTTCGTGTTCGATTCCAGTTTCGTCCACCCCCCTAGATTCAAAGTTGGGTCGGACCTAGCGGAGGCCCTTGTGGTTCCGCTTGTTGTCCTCTCACGCCTGTGCTGCCGAATGCCTCGGACCAACTTCGAATCTGGGGGAAAGGGGGGGCGGAGTGAAGGGTTCCACTTACTTGTCCATCCACGGTCCCTGGTGTCTCCTCCTTGGAGTGCCCAGCTGCCATGGCTGCTCGATCGTGGTGATTAAGGGGTTTTCAAAATAAAAGAATCTGGCCTGCTCAATCCGAAAACCCGCCAAGGCCTGAGAACAGTGAAGACCGAAGTGAGGACTGCCGCGAAACATGTGAGGACCGTGAAGACTGAGAACCTGTTTTTTTGAGGCGAGCAAGCTATGCGGCCACGCGCGTCGGGCGCACCGCGGAACGCCCCGGGTGCGCGGCCTCCGCGGGCGGCCGGCCCGCTCGCGGCGGCAGGCCTGCGCGTGCCAGGCCTTCGAAGAGAGCTACATCAGCAGGCAGGCGTGGGCGCGTACGTGGGGTCGATCTGCAGCGCCTTCTCGTAGCAGTCCTTCTTGCTGTGGGCGCGGCCCGAGACCGTCCCGCCGCCGGCGTTGCCCAGGTTATACCAGGCGGGCGCGTTCTCGGGGTCGATCTGCAGCGACTTCTCGTAGCAGTTCTTCGGGCTGTGGGCGCGGCCCGAGACCGTCCCGCCGCCGGCGACGCCCAGGTTATACCAGGCGTCCGCGTCCGTGGGGTCGATCTGCAGCGCCTTCTCGAAGCAGTTCTTCGGGCTGTGGGCGCGGCCCGAGACCGTCCCGCCGCCGGCGTTGCCCAGGTTATACCAGGCGGGCGCGTTCTCGGGGTCGATCTGCAGCGCCTTCTCGAAGCAGTTCTTCTCGCTGTGGGCGCGGCCCAAGACCGTCCCGCCGCCGGCGTTGCCCAGGTTATACCAGGCGCGCGCGTACTCGGGGTCGATCTGCAGCGCCTTCTCGAAGCAGTTCTTCTTGCTGTGGGCGCGGCCCGAGACCGTCCCGCCGCCGGCGACGCCCAGGTTGAACCAGGCGAGCTTGTGCTCGGGGTCGATCTGCAGCGCCTTCTCGAAGCAGTCCTTCTTGCTGTGGGCGCGGCCCGAGACCGTCCCGCCGCCGTCGACGCCCAGGTTGAACCAGGCGGGCGCGTCCGTGGGGTCGATCTGCAGCGCCTTCTTCTTGGCATCCTTCAGGTTCTCGACGTTGTCCTCGCTCGCCTGCCCCTCCGCCTCCTCCGCCAGCAGGTACCTCTCCGCGGCGGCAACCGGAGTCTGGGCGGGATCCAGCGCAGCGCCGCCCTTGTAGACGTCTTTCGACGTTGCCCAGGACATGGCGACCTTGTGGAGATTATCCTTCTGATTGTGTTTCTTGATGACGTCTTTCGCCTCTTCCATGAATTCGTCGGGGCAAGAACACACTACTGCGCACTTACCCGTCGTGCTACTTACTGCGAGCTCGACCTCAAGATCCGCAATGCCGACCTGCTTCCAGAATATCTTCTCCTTCTCGAATGAGCACTCCTCCTTGCCGTCGGCGGTGAAGAAAGGAGCCTTTTTCTGACGGAAGGCATCTTCGAGGTCCTGTTGAAGGGCAGGGTACTCTGCGCATGTGCACCTGTTCTGCACGCGGGGCCTTATGCCAACCATACAAATCGACGCGAACCCCTCGGAGAACTTGGCAGCGATCAACGCAAATTCGGTGTAACGGTAGTGCGAATACCACCCGAACTGTCGGACGTCCGCCGGCAGAGACGAGAAGGTCGCAGCTGCCTGGGGCAGCTCGTGCACGGCGACCGCCAGCGCGGTGGCGAGCCCGCTGGTCATGCCCGACACCCAGGCGACGCCGAGGGACATGCCGTCCGCAAAGTTGTGCAGCATCTCCTGGGGCGTGATGCAAGTGATCCTCCTCCTACCCTTCCTCCTCTTCCTCCTCCTCCTTCTCCTCCTCCTGCTCCTCCTCCTCCTCCTCCTCCTCCTCCACCTCCTCCCCTGCCTCCTGCTTCTCCTCCTCCTCCTCCTCCTCCTCCTCCTCCTCCTCCTCCTCCTTCTCCCCCTCCTCCTCCTTCTCCTCCTCCTCCTCCTCCTCCTCCTCCTCCTCCTCATCATCATCATCATCATCATCATCATCATCATCATCATCATCATTCTCCTCCTCCTCCTCCTCCTCCGCCTCCTCCTCCTTTTCCGCATTCTCCTCCGTGAGAGCACGGCCGTGACTGAAGAGTTCAGCACGGATATGTTTCTCGACTTTCGGACTCTGAGAGGGTCCTCGCGGGACCCCGGGACCGAAACAACAGCGGCACGGGAGGAAACGCCGGCGCTGCGGACCCCCGCAGCGAACAAACAAACGAAGACATCGCATGCCTGGATGCGGTCGGGGGAAGGTTTGCTCTGCGTGTCGCGGTGGCGCCCCCTGCAATACATCAATTATGCCAGGCAAGCCGATGGCGTGCCGCTCTGCCTCGTGGGACAGGAGGCTGGGAACAGCTCGGAGCGTTGATGCTTGGGCACGGGGACGTGGTTGGCGTGTCGAGCCGAAGCGTGGTGGGCCAGAACCAGCAGCTTGACGCGCACATCCGCCGACCCCCCGTGGGTCTCTAGGCGTAGGAAGTTCCCCCCCAATAATCCTCCCAGGGCCCTGGGCCCACAAACCGGAAATTCGACCCCTCCCCCCCGCTCCAGGTGGTCCACCCCTGGGCTCATCAGGGGGGTCTGACCCTCCCCAGGCTTCCTTTGAACCTCCAAGGCAGCCCCTGAGGCCTCCCAAGAGGCCCCCAAGACGATCCACGAGGGTCCAGAGCCGCCGAATGATTGCCTCCAGACGGCCCAAGATGGCCTCCAGGACGCTCACGATGGCCTCCAGACGGCCCAAGAGGTCTCCAAGACGCCCCAAGAGGCCTCCAGAAGGTCCCCCAAGAGTGGGCCTCAAGAGGTCCCCAAGAAGAGCAAATCGTCCCACTCCCTTGGGGAAACGTATCTGTGTCGCATATTCGCCTCGTGGGCTTCCACTACGCCCAAGACTGCACGGCCCAAGGGAGCCCCACGACGGCCAAAGAAGCCCCCAAGACGGCCCAAGAGAACCTCAGGACGGCCCCAAGAGGGGGCCCAGAGGGGGAACCCAAACGGAAATTTCAAGCCTTTGGCCCAAAGACGCTCCCAGGGAGCCCCGAAGAGGCCCCCAGGGAGCCCCAAGAGGGCCCCAAAAGGCTCCACAGAGCCCCCCAGGAGGCCCCTACGAGACCCCAAGATTGCCTCCCAGACGCACCTGAGAGGCCTTTCACGAGACCCCTATCAGCCATCCGAGTGGCCTCAGACCCACAGCCCAGGCACGGTGGCGGGATGGGCCGACGGCCATTCGATCCGCCGCCCCCTGCTTGCAGGGGTGCACGGCGTGCTGGACGATTCAGGTTTTGGTTTTGGTTCTTTTTCTGAAAGAACTCCCCAGTGGGCTTCGGCCCGTCCCGCCGGCCACCCGTAATTTTCCCAAAATCCGTCTGTCAATGCCTTTGTTGCCCCAACTTGGCCCAAGATGGCCTCCAAGACGGCCAAGATGGCCTCCAAGATGCCTCCCAGACGGCCAAGATGGCCTCCAAGACGGGTAAGATGGCTCCAAGATGCCTCCAAGACGGCCCAAGATGCCCTCCAAGACGGCCAAGATGGCCCCAAGATGCCTCCAAGATGGCCCAAGAGGCCTCCAAGACGTTCTCCAGGAGAGCCCGAAGAGGCCAAAATCATTGGTTTTCCTTAGGTTTTTGAAGGTTTTTTGCGTTTTCTTCTTTTCGGCCTTCCGACGGCCCAAGAGGCCCCCAAGATCGCCCAAGAGGCCTCCAAGAAGGCCCTATGACGGCCCAAGGGCCCCCCAAGACGGCCCCAAGAGCGCCCCAAGACGGCCCAAGAGGCCTCCAAGACGCCCAACATGGCCTCCAAGACGGCCCTGAAGCGCCCCAAGAGGGCCCCAAGACGGCCCAGAGAGGCCCCCAAGACGGCTCCAGACGGCGTCAGACGGACGGCGTCAGACGGACCAGGAACGCCCTAAGACGGCCAAAGAGACCCCCAGGAAGCCCCCAAAGGCCCCCAAGAGGCCCAAGGAGGCCCCCAAGATGCCTCCAAGAGGCCTCGAAGAGGCCCCCAAGAAGCCCCCAACAGACCCCAAGGGTGCCCCAAGAGACTCCATCCCCTCATCCTCCTACTTATTTCTCCTTCTCTTCCTGTTCATAACCATTCTCTCCCATGTGTTCCCCGAAAGCTTTCCAAACCGACTCGGGGAACTCATGGTCCGATAGCTTGGCCAAGCTCTAATCCAACGTTCGGCCACATCGGCGTCTCCAAAAAGGCAGGGGGCGGCGGTGATTCGCCGTAGGCGTCTTCGATCCGTCGCCCCCTGTGGTCTTCCCACAGGGTGCCCGGCGTGCTGAATCCTAGACGTGATGGTTTTGGTTCTTTTTTCAAAAGAACTCTTCCTGGGGCTTCGGCCCGTCCCACCGGCCACCCGAAAGGCTCTTAATTCTCAGAAAAATGTTCCCAAGACGGCTCAAGACGGCTTTCAAGACCGCCAAGATGGCCCAAGATGGCCTCCAAGATGCCTCCAATATGGCCTCCAAGACGGTTACGATGGCTCCAAGATGCCTCCAAGACGGCCGAAGATGCATCCAAGACGGCCTAAGATAGCCCAAGAGGCCTCCAAGATGGCCCCAGAGGCTTCCCAAGAGGTTGTTCAGGAATGCCCGACGACGTCAAAATCGCTGATGTTCCTCAGGTGTTTGAAGGATTTGGGCTTTTGCGGTTCTTCGGTTTTCCCACGGCCAAAGATGGCCCAAGAGGCCCTCGAGGTTACCCCAAGATCGCCTAAGAGGCTTCCAAGATGGCCCTATGATGGCCCAAGAGGCCCCCAAGACAGCCTCAAGAGGGCGCCAGGACGGCCCAAGAGGCCTCTAGGACGCCCAAGATGGTCTCCAAGACGGCCCTGAAGCGCCCGAAGAGGGCCCCATGCCGGTTCAGAGAGGCCCCCAAGATTGCCTCCCTCGGCGTCAGATGGGTCAGACACGCCCCAAGACGGCCCAAAAGATGGCCCTAAGATGGCCGGTTTCCACTGCATGAGCCAATTCTGTGGGACAGGCTGTTCCTCCCGAGCCGTTTGCTGACGGTCCTTCGACCTGGCGAGGGGGCACACGTCGCCGCGCAGTCTGTTCTCGACGCGCCCAGGTGGACGACGCCGACGCCACGGCAAGCCCACGGCAAGCCCATGACAAGCACCGCGCCCGAGGCGGCCTCTGCCCTGGTGGCCGAGGCGCCCTCCCCAAGACGCAGGGCCGCGCGTTGGAACCAACGGCGCGGCGACAGGCGTTGGCTTCGACTGCTACATCGCGGGTTGTTGACTCACACCGCGAGGAGGGCAAGATCTTCCTCCTGCTCGACCTCATCCTCCTTCCTCCCTCATTCGCCTCCTCTGGCCCTCCTCTGGCCCTCCTCCTCATCCTCCTCCTCATCCTCCTCTTCCTCCTCCTCCTCCCCCATGAAATGAGGCGTCCGTCAGGAGATTGGCCCAACCGAGCGCGGCATTGTGATCGTGCCCGCTGTGACTGAGCAGCTCGGGAATGGCGAGCACGGCCATGCACCCCAGCGTGGCGGCAAGGCCGACGTTGACCATGGCCAGGAGGCCCCCACCACGCCCGCCAGTCCGACCCTTCCCCTTCCCCCACGTTCACCCTGGCCTAAAACAGGGCTAAGATCGGGATAAATCGCTCCAGAGCGTTCCGGAGCGCTCTCAGAGCGTTCCGGAACGCTCTGGAGCGGCAGCGGCGCCCAATACATCCTCCAAACCCGCCGGTTCTCAGAGATTTCGATTTAGCCCGATCCGATTTTGTCCCGATCTTCCCGTCGTTTATGGCCTTCGGGAGGGGGGACGGAGATCTGTTGGGCGGAGGTTGGTTGGCCAGACCGACGGCGTCACGAGGCAGACCAGATGGCCAGGTTCTTCCAAACTTTGGCGCCTGCGGAGGCCCGCTTCGGAACCTTCCCCTCCTGCTCCGTGCAGGGGTGCAGGGGACCAGGCGGGCCCTTCCTCCCTACACTTCGGGGACAGGCCCAGAAATCCGACCGCGCGACTTTGCTTGCAACACGTGACACTCCGGCCAGAGAAGCCTGGACCCCTTCCCCGGGACTCGGGGGGAAGGAAAGGGGGGGATAGCAAAGGGTAGGGTAGAGATTCGGCTCACGTAGCTGATTCTCCCAGCGCCTCCTGGCGCCGGAAGGCGCGCATGTATCGAGGACTGGGCCCGGCGGCGGGACCGAAACCAACTGCATGCAGCAGCCTCCGTAACCCCCCTTTCCCTGTCCCCCCCTTTCGTTCAGCCTCAGGGACCGGCGTCTCCTGCAGAGACGCTTTCTGGCGGCCCCGCGGCCCAGTGAGGGCTCCCAGAGAGGCTGCAACTCAGGAAGCACACCGCGTCGCGATTCTTGGCCGCGGCGCCTATGAGGTCGGGGTCGGGGTCCGCGCAAGCATGGTTTAGCGATCCATGGATCTGGCGCGCGGTCGCCACATCCATGGATCGGGGGAGGCGCCCTCCCCAAACTGCGGCCGGTGCCGCCTCGCTCGGCGGCGGAGATCCGCGACTTCCCATGGAAGCGGGACCCGTCGCTATATCCACGCCTCCCTGATCCATGTTTGCGATCGCCTGCCTGGGGTCGGGGGAGGTCGCAGGAGGGACCCCGTCAAAACCGCGCACGAGACTTGGATTCTGGGGTTAAGTCGGGCCTGTCCTCCTACAAGGGGATTTTGGAAGAAAAACCCGCCGACCCTGTCCGCGTGTGTGAGGGGCTTGTCCGTTGAAGTCGTCATCTCCGTCATTCGTTGGTCGTCGTCTCTGTCGTCCCCTTTCCCTGCCTCCCGCATTCCCTGGGCTCGTCGAAGCTCCCCCCTTTTCCATAGACCTCCTCAGCGCGCCAACCAAAGCGAAGTTGAGCAACGTGGTAATTGAATCGAAGGGAAGAACCTTCCCTTCGATCCCTTCCCCGCCGGGGGGGGGGGTCCCAGGGGGGGAGGTCAGATACCCCGGGGGAGTCCCGGAGCCCAAAAAAGCACCAAGACAGGCCAAGAGTGCTCCAAGAGGCCCCAAAGACAGTCCAAGAGAACTCCGAATCGCCGAACGATCTGTCCAAGACGCCTTGACGGCCTCCAGACGGCCCAAGAGGCCTGCAAAGCGCCCCAAGAGGCCTCCAGGAGCTTTCCCACTGAGCCCCACGAGGCAACACTCATGGATTCCCCCATACGTTTTTAACAGATTTTGGCGTTCTTGCCTCTTCCGCTTCCCGACGCGCCAAGACGGCCCAAGAGGCTCCCCAAATCGCCCCGAGACGGCCCAAGAGGCTCCCAAGAGGGTCCCCTGACGGCCGAAGAGGGCCCGAAGACGGCCCAAGAAGCCTCCAAGACGGCCCAAGAGGCCCCCAAGATTGCCCCAAGACAGCCCATGAGAGCCCCAAATTGCCCAGGAGGCCTCCAAAAGTGCCTCGAGACGGCGCAAGAGGAGCCCTGGACGGCCCAAGACGGCCTCAAGAGAGCCCCAGGCTGTCCCAAGAAAGCCTCTGGCCTCCTCCTTCTCCTCCTCCTCCTTCTCCTCCTCCTCCTCCTCCTCCTCCCCCCCCCTCTGCTCCCCCTCCTCCTGCTCTCCCCTGCATCCTTCTCCTCCTCTTGCTTCTCCTCCACATCCTTCTCCCCCCTCCTCCTCCCTCATCCACCTCCCCCACCCTTCCTCCACTTCCCACTCATCCTCCTCCCCTGCCCCCCCCCTCGTTTTCATCTTCGTCGTTCTCAGGGTCGGCGGCACCGAGCCGTCAGGCCTTCGCAATTCAAAAAATCGCCAGCAAAAATACCCACAAATGGCCAAACCATACCCAACAAATAATCCCCAGACTATGTTGTGGACTATCTCTGAACATCCCTCCTGCAGAGGGACAGGCCCGACCTTACTTCCGGGGCGCGCGCGGACCCGGCACTTCCCGGGCGGAACCCGGCACCCGCGACGTGGGCCGCCCCCCCCGCCCCCCGAGCGGCCCCGAGAGGCCGGAGCCATCAGGATCGGACGGTGCCTCCTCCTCCTCCCTGCTCCTCCTCCTCCTCCTCCTTCTTTCTCCTCCTCCTTCTTTCTCCTCCCTGCTGCTCCCCCTCCTCCTCATCCCTGCTGCTCCTCCTCCTGCTCCTCCTCCTCATCCTCCTCCTCCTCCTCCTCCTCCTCCTGCTCCTCCTCCTCCCTCCTCCTCCTCCCTCCTCCTCCTCCTCCTCCTCCTCCTCCTCCTCCTCCCTGCTCCCTGCTCCCTCCCCTCATTCCCTCCCAGACCCCCTCGGGCGATGACAAAAATCATGACGGGAGGCTTTTTGCTTATTTCTGTTCGGCCCCTGGGGGCCCTGACCGCGGCCCTCGGGACCGTCAAGAGACGGCTCAGGATGAAAATCCGGTCCATGGGGAATGGGTCGAGACCTCCAGGGGTCGACGTCATGAAAAAATCACGACGTCTGGGGTCTGGGCTTCGGCCCCTTCTCGTGCCTCCTCCCCCCCCAGATCCCAGACGCCGCGATTTGTTTCGCAGGCCGCGGACCCCGAGAGGACTGGGACCCCCTTCTCCGGAGCCGGCTTCCAATCCCGACTCGCTCCGATGACGGTCCTAGGACCTCGTGACGGCCCCCAGAAGAGGAAACCTACCCAAACCTCGCGGCGTGATTCTGCACAACAGGGGGTCAACCATCGACCCGCGCATCATCCCTGGACCCGTCGTGGCGCGCGTTTGGGCCAGACGTGGCGACGAGAAGCCCCAGAGACCCCCCAGAGACGCCCCCCCCACCAAAAAAGCGTAGAGCATGGACCATCGAACCTCGGTCCTTCTCCCTCTCCTCCTCCTCCTCCTCCTCCTCCTCCTCCTCCTCCTCCTCCTCCTCCTCCTCCTCCTCCTCCTCGTCCTCCTCCTCTTCCTCCTCCTCCTCCTCCTCCTCCTCCTCCTCCTCCTCCTCCTCCTCCTCCCTCCTCTCCTTGACCTTCCCCCCCCCACACACACACACCGGAGGAACACACTCGATCGACCGGCCACCGCAGCAGGGGCCCCCCCAGACATGCGACACGTCCTGATTTTTGTCAGGACGGCGCCCCCGGAAGTCCAGACCATTTTCCCCTGGGCCGGCTTCTCATCCTGCGTCGTTTTTGTTGACGGCCCCGAGGCCCGGTAAGGGCCCCCAGAGGCCGAAACTAGCGCAAACATGGGCCCCAACCCTCCTCCCTCCCCCTCCCTGCCCGGCCACCCATCCTCCCCCCCCCCCTCGCACTCCCACCCTCCCCCCCCCCACCCGCCTCGTCGGCCCTCGCCCTCGATCCTCGGCCCTCCTGTATCCCCCCTTCTCCCCCTATTCCCCACCCCCGCCTTCCCCTTCCCCTCCCCTTGGCCCTCGATCCTCGACCCTGCTCCCCCCCTCCCCCTCCTTCCTCCCTCCTCCCTCCTCCCCCTCCTGTGCCACCGCCTCCCGCCGACCCCGCCCGCTCCAGCCCGGCCCTGGGGGGGGGGGGCTGGGTCGACGGGCGGCCGCGCCAGGCGAGGGGCCTCCCGAGCTCGTCTCGTGCCCCGCGCCCTCCAGGGAGTGGGGCAGCAGGTGCAGGAGGGCGTCCGCCACCAGCACGGTGCCCGCGAAGGCCAGGCTGCCGTACTCGACTACCTTGTGGAGCCTCGGGGGCGAGGCGAGGCGAGGCGAGCGCGCGGTTCCGCCGGGAGCGGGGCCCTTCAGGGCCTGCGCGGGGGGGCCGGGGCCCTCAGTGCTTGTGGTCCTTGTTTGCCGAGGTCGGGGTGCTGAGTCATGAGCTGGTGGACGCTGGAGGCGAAGTGGTGCAGGTGGAAGTGGAGAGTCGGAAGCCGGGGGGGAACCGGGGGGCCGGTCGGAGAGGAGCGCCGGTGGAGGCGAAACGGCGGCCCCGGGCTGCGCCTCCTGCCAGCTCCTCGCCGCCACGGCCAGGTCCGCGTGGGAACACGGAGCGGGATGGAGCCCCGGAGGGCTCCCGGGGCCGCTCGGGAGCGCCTGTGGGGCCAGGCGGGACGCCCGCCGAGGTCTCCACTGGCCTCCCTCCGAGGCGAGGGGGAGGAGGAGCCCGGGCCCAAGCCCGCTTGGGTTATGACACCAGCACGGCGGACGGTCCTAGCGGGGCCCTCGGGGGGGGCCCTTCCCGGGCCCCGGGGCCATCTAAAAACGCCTCGGGGTGAGAAGCCAGATGAACACCACGAGTGCGATGCTTGAGGCGGATATTCAAGATTTCGCCAGCGTGTTTGTCTGGAGTCAGCACAGCCTATCTCCAACCTTGTTGCAACGCCAATTCTGGTAGACTCGCCCGGGAACCTCCGAGCAGCCTCCCAAGACGAATGCTGTTCTCTATTGGTAGCCATTCTTATGTCTTGCCCCGAACGTAGGGTAGCGCACAAGCCTGAGGCAGGCCGCGTTTGCAATGGACAACGTACCTGCGCTCACAAGCTTCGGAGTTGTCTGGGCGGAACCTCAGTCGACTCCAGTGTCTTCTGGGTGGCGAGGCGACTTGGCGCTCAGCCGTCAAATCTTGGTGAAGCAACATCCGTTGACTGTTCTGCCGCTGTCCCTCTCCTCCCTCCCCCTCCTCCCTGCTC